ATGTTTTGGGTACTAAATATATATCTTATAACCTTTTGTTCTATTTAATGATAATTATATTTCATAAGCTAATACCAATCTGGGAAAATAAGGAGTTAGCTTATACCTATTTTTAATCTAAATTACAGGTAAATCAGTATTTTCTTCTCATTTTCAGTTATAAATTATATAGTTTTCACTCGAAGAATTTTATGGTCTCAATCAATGTTGAAAATATAGTTGGCCTTCCATATCTAAAGCTTCCACATTCATGGATTCAACCAACTGTAGATCAAAAATATGTGAAAAAAAAATAATAAAAAATAACAGTACAACTGTAAAAAGTAATGCAAAAAAGTAGTATGCCAACTATTTATATAATGTTTACATTGTATTAGGTATTATACATACTCTAGAGATGATTCGAATTATGTAGGAAGATGTGCACAGATTATATGCAAATATTATACCATTTTATATAAGGGACTGGAGCATCCATAGATTTTGGTATCTGCTGGGGTCCTGGAACCAATCCCTCATGGATAACTAGGGATAACTATAGTATACTTACTAAATTTGGAAAAATGTTGTTGTTTAAACAAATTAGTATCAATATTTTGGTCTTCAACACTAATAAAATTTTGGGAAGTTATAGTACTTCGGTCTAAGACCCTGAAAATTAAAGGACTTGGAATTTGGGGTCTTATTTCTAGGGATGATTTGCTTTCCGTCCCCTGGAGATCCTTTTAACCTTTTTTTCACTTTAATTTCTTTAACAGAAAATAGTATGAAGAATATAGTAAGCATAATGAATTACTTGTGAATTACAATGATTGCTACTTCTAAAGTATATAATGGAAGATATGATTACCTGTTTTTTTTATGGCAGAATCTTGCAAAAAATTCTGAGCCATTCCAGATTTTTGGATTATTAGAGTAAAGAAATTATACAGAAAAGAGTCTGTTTGAAAACTGCCATAAGGAATCCTGAATGCTAATAGGGTAGAAGTTACACTTATGATGCCTGAAGCAATGCAGATGAATGAGTTTATTGTGTTAACTACTTGAGAACTTTTTTTTTCTCTCTTTTATTAGTGGGATGAGAATATGATGGTATCTACCCAGGGCACTGGAACATCCTAAACTTTTACCTCCTTGCAAGATCTAGAGAAATAAACATTTTATTACCCTGAGGCTTTGTCACCAAAAAACCACTTTAAAAATAAGGATAGGTTTAATCTAATTGAAGGCTGTTTTTAACCAAGTTTACCGCTGGAATGGAGCCTAGAATTAAAAATGGCTGGAGGATAGCTTTGCTTCCTGTACTCTTAAGTCCACAACTATGATCTTATTACTATTAAATAAGTGAAGTCCAGTCAGCCATCAAAGAAAATAGGCAAGTAGAAGATGTGTATTTGTAGTAAGAGCTAAGGAATGAGTTTGTTTCAATTCCTGGAGCAGGGCTAGTCTAGATAATCTTTTCCAGGCTTTCTCAGTTCTTTTTCACCTGCTTTTCAGAACACAGTTTGCCCGCATGTATAGACTTATCCACTCATTCATTTCAGATCAAGTCAGGGCAACTTGTAAATCGGAGTGCTACTGCTTAAACTGCATGGTAGAGAGAACAAAGTAAAAGAACACAAAAAGTGTGCTATTTTATGAAGCATGAAAGAGGGTAGAGAAGAGAAGAGACAAGAAATTAAAATTTGGCTTATTCATTCATGGCCTTATATTTGTGAAGGAGGATCCCAAGATGTGAAATCCAAGAGTAAGGTATACCACACTGTTGACATTAATGGCCAGTAAATTGGTCCTCAATCCTGACTACACACTAGCATCATGCCTGCACCTTGGATGTTGGGAGAGAAGCTATGTGTTTTTCTTTGTCAGAACTTATCAATGTCCATGAGATTCTCAAATATTTGAAATCTGTGAATCTTTAATAATAATATTGTGTATTTTTTCAAAGAGATTAATTGGATAAAAGGAGGTTAGCTTAAATAAAGCACCCAAATAATAGAAAGTGTTTAAAGATTCACTGAACAAGTGACTGTGCAGTGAAGGGCTGACCTTCGCTCATCCTAGCTACAACTCTCTCTAGCCAGCTTAGCTCCTGTGTCCAGAGTTTGCTTGTTTCTTTTCTACCTTGAACCCAATCATGAAAGCAGCAACACAGGCCACTGTGGGGCCCACTCTAACCTCTTCATTGTCCCTCAAAACTGTCAGGTTCCTACTCTCTCTTCCCTCCTAGAATATCTGATGTTATCAGCTGCGAAAAGGATGTTGGACATACTCCCTGGTGTAAAGGTAATGGGAAGGGAAAGTACAATTTTGTGTTCTGGAATTCTTTATAAAGTGTATAGGCAACACTTTCTTTATAAAAATTGTATAGACGTTGGCTATAAAGTGAAATGGATTATTTAAGTATCTCTACAATGATATAGAGATATAATCTTTTATACAAAATAAAAAGTATATTGAGCTAATTATATGTCAGAGCAGTAGTTTGAAGGGTATTATTTTTATGACAAATTACATATTTGAGGAACTGCATTAATAAAAGCTTTCATAAGCCATTTTTAAAATTTAAACTTAAAAAAAATAAAGTATAACCTACATACAGAAATGTACACAAATCCTAGGTATGTAGATGAACTAAAGTTTTATAGTCTTTTGTATATTTAAGTTTCTTCTCACGAGACAAGGCCAACTAATGGAAGATGCCGTGCATCTTTAATTGATTAGCAAACCTAAAAACGTACTGTATCAGCTACACAATTTTGAGATTTTTCCAGCTGCAGGTTTTACTTTTGCTATAAGATCTTACTATCTCACTATTACCCTTTTTTTAAAAAAAATAAAAAACAAATCTTAGCTCTTAAGTCACATTCCTACTGTCAGCCACAGATATACATACAGATTCTGTATGTAAATCAGTTACCACAGATTGAAATATAACTCGTTAAATCACAATCATAAGTTAGGGGTTTCATCAACAAGCAAGTTCATGAGTATTGGAAGCATACTATTTTGTTAACCCTATATTATGCTCTGTATGACACCACTTATATAATATACGCTGTCTTATAGTTTTAATAAACTCTAATTTTAAATTTATTTCTTATTGCCTTGACTTTAAAAAAATCTAAAGTTACCTTTCAAGCCTCCAGATCATTGCTTCTATTTTATCATGCTTTTCAAGGTCTTCAGTCACTACTGTTTTCTACAGAACAAGTTTATCCTCCTTAATATGACCTTGAAGAATCTTTACATTCTATCTACAATCTTATTGCTTGACTTTGTCTCTTACTGTTCCTTCTGCCCCTCCTCAGCAGTAGATACTGAATTATACTAAGTGGGAATATATGGGTCAACCTTAATCAACCTTCAATGAAATATTCCTTGTTTTTCTTTGTTTTCTTTTAACTGTATATATTAAGTCCAGTTAGACTCTCATACCTTATTCTCCTTTCTGTCCTTTCTTATCACCGTTCATAATTTTTTCACATTTCTGTCATTTTTAGAATGACTTTTTGTTTTTGGTCAATTCCAATAATACTTTCATGACTCAATTTAAATCCTTTTTCATAAAGCCCTCCAAGATTAATGTGGCTAGTGTAAAGTATTTTCTTCCTGTTTAGAAATTTAACATTCTTTTCCTGTGTTACACTGGCCAATAATACATGTTGCCTTTTTGACATCAGTTGTTTTTTATTGATATTTGATGATATCATTTTGTTTTCCCTGTGTTCATACCTTCTTTCTCCCTCAGAGTATTAAAATAACCTGAAAGCAAGGACTATGTCATATACGATCCTTATGTATATATAAATGTGTGTATATATATATATATATGTATATACAGGCATAACTATTTTATTGATTATTAATATAATTTGGATATATTTTTTGAAACAGCTTTACAATGAGTTGCATATTTGTTTTGAGACCACAAAATCAAATGAAGCTGTGCTTCGGCAAAGTGTTGTTAATCTTCAGGATCAGCTCTTTCGAAAAGAGCAAGAAAATGCTACATTAAAAGAAAAACTTCAGGAATCCCAGGGAGCACCTTATTCTTTACCTCAAGAAAATGATTCAGACCACTCAGCACAGGTGAGAGACATTTTCTAAAAATGTTACCCAGTATAATAGGAAATTAAATCATCTCCTACAATTGAGTAAAATAGATTTGCATACATTGGAAGGTAAAGGTCTGCAGATAGTTTTGCATTATACTATTTTTCTACTCTTGTCAGACATGAATATTATATTAATATAATACAGATTAATATACAAATGCATGTAGAAATACAAGGTATATCAAGTATAGTTATTGTGATGAATCATTTGGTTGATACACATTGAAGAGCAAATTAATAGGTCATACCCATTTTGAGACTTTCTAACTCAATGAGGTAATGGAATGTAAAGAGTATCTAACAGTAAGTCTCATAAAGTACCTGCCATAATGCCAGGTGTACGTACTTAATATCTATTAGTCCTGATTCTGCCACTACCTTGCTGGATGATTTTGGAGGTCATTTGACCTTCTTAAGTATTTCCTGTGGTATAGATAAAAATATGAAGGATCTGGATTCAAATAAATCTGAGATTAAATTACAGCTCTGCCTGTGAGCTTTGTGTACTTGAACAAATTTCTTAACCCTTTTATCTACTTTCCTCATACACAAAATGTTATTAATGGTATCAATGTCATAGAGTTTTATGAGGATTAATAACATAGTGCATGTCTAGTTCAGAGCTTGGCATATAGAAAATATTAAATGGTACCTTTTTAAGATAATCTTCACTGTAACTTTCAGCTATAAATATCTTTTTAAAAATATTCTATTTCTATAAATTTATTTAAGTATTTTTAAGGCACGTAGCATTTTTTTAAATTTTAGATTTATTTAATTCAGAAATGGAATGAAAACAAACACGAAATTAGGTGATTAAATGTTTATTAACGATTATTCAACAGTCATTTTTGAACCCAGCACATCTGTCTTGCCAATACCTCAACCTTAAGACAATAATTTTTAAATTTGTATAATATTGATTGCATTTTTTGGACAGAATTGGACTAATCATAAATTTATGACATTACACACTATTATGTTATATGCATAGGCCTATTTAATTTAATTGTATTGTTTATTATAATATGCATCCTTGATCTCACTAACTCATCCAAAGACTAGAACATTACTAATGATTTACATCTATTGTATGTTCCTCCCTAATCTGATGCTTTGATTCTCTCACCAGAGGTAACTACTAAACTATTAATATTTATCATTTTGATTATTTTTTAAAAGTTTTATCACATACATGTTTATGGGGAAACAGTTTATTGTTTAGTTTTGTCATTTATAAAAATGGCATAATACGTATTCTATGGATTTTGGCAATTTTGACTCATTATATTACTAAGATTCATCTCTGTTGTTCAATAAAGCTGTTTATTTTCAATGTTTTAAAATATTCTGTTATATGTGAATATATTGTAACTACTTATCTGAGCATCTCTAATGAATACATTGGTTAATTCTGGATTTTTGCTGTCATGAATAATGATGCAGTTGACATTTTTGTACGTGATTCTTTGTGTTCATGTGCATGCATTTTTTGTGGATTATGTATCTAGGAATGGAAATCCTGGATTGTAGGGTAGGAAAATATTACTTTTACAATGTGCTGATAACTTATTTTTCAAAATGGTTTTGTCAGTTTTACTCCCACCAACAATGTATAAGAGATCTGGTTGATTCATGTCCTCCTCAACATTTAGTATTGTCAGACTTCTTAATTTGTTGCCAACTGAATGAGTATAAAATAAAATTTCATTTTGGTCTTAATACTTAATCTCTGATAGAACATATCATCAAATGCTTACTAGCCAGTGTGTATCCTCCTCTGTGAAACATCTGTTTATGTCTTTTGTCCATTTTTCTATTGGATTTTTTTCTTATTGATTTACAAAAGTTCTTTATATGTTCTTGATATTAATCCCCAGTAAGTTAAATGTGTGGCAGATATATCAGTGTGTACCTTGGCTTTTCATTTTCTTTAGGATATCATTTGAAGAACTGATATTAAATAAGTTCTTAATTTTAATTTAGATAAATGAATCTTTTATAGCTAGTGCTTTGGTATCTCATTTAAGAAGTACTTCCTTATCCCCAAGACAGAAGTGTTTGCACCTCTGTTTTTTTTCAAAACATTTTAAAGCTTTGCTTTTGTCATTTACATTCACAATTTATTCAGAATAAATTCAGAATTGTTTTTTGTGTGTAGTATAAGTTGCCAAATTCATGAATCAGAACATGCAATATTGTTAAGAATGCAGTTATTCCTAAATTGATCTATTTATCATGTAATCCCAACCAATTCCCAAGAGACTGTTTATTCCAAAAGAAATTGAAAAATCAATTCTGAAATTTATAGGAAAATGCAAAGGACCTAGAAGAGCAAAATCAAGTTTCATAAAGAACTTACAGGAGGACTTACACTCCCTGGTTTGAGATTTATTTATTGAGCTAAAAAATCAAGACAATGTGGTATTAGCATAACAGTTGACAAAATAATCAACAGAACTGAACAGAGTCCAGAAATATACCTACTCATATATGTAGCTTTTTTTTTTTTTTTTTTTAAGGCTGGTTAAGTGAAGCAGTGGGAGTGGAGAAGGAACAAAGGAATCTGTAACTGATTGTGATCAATTGGGTTGTAAACACTATATGTAGCTTTATGGTAATTTTTGAAATGAGGGTAGTATAAGTTATTTTATTCTTTCCCAAGAATATTCTGTAGGTTCTTGTTCCTTTGCTTTTTTGCAGAAATTTTAGTGTCAACTTGTCAATTTCTACAAACAAGCATTCAGTTAGAAATGTTTCTTATTTCCTTTGTGATTTTCCGTTTTGCCCTTTGGTTACTTAAAAGTATATTGTTTACTTTTCAAATATGTGTGTTTGTGTGTGTGTGTTTTCCTGTACATCTTATTATCACTGATTTCTAATCTACTTCCATTGTGGTCACTCTATAAAATTACTATGTTTTGAAATTTATTGAGATTTGTCATATGGCCCAGCATATTTTGGTGGACATACTATATATAGTTGAAAATAATTTGTATTTTGCAACTAGTGGGTGAAAAGCTCCGTAACATTAATACTAATTATGTCATTGTGGTTGACAGTGTTCAGATCTTCTATGTCTTTAATTTTTTTTGTTTAGTTTTTCTATCAATTGCTTAAGAGAGAGGTATTAAAAATCTCCCAATATGATTGTAGAATTTTGTTTCTCCTTTGAATTTTCTCAATTTTTGCTTCATTTTAAAGCTGTTTTATTATGTGTGTACATAATTAGGATTACTATATCTTTGTAATTAATTGAATCCTTTCTCATTATAAAATAACATTTTTAATTATAATATTTTGTTGACTTGAAATCTACCTTTATGATGTTAGTATAGCCAATTCTCCCCTTTAATGGCTATACTTTACAGAGTATACCTTTCCCATCTTTTTAGTTTCAGCCTATAGATGTCTTTACATTTAAAGTATATATATTAATATTTGGATCCTGTTTTTTTAATCCATTCTGATACTTTCTTCCTCTTCATTGCAGTTAATCCATTTAAATGTAATATAATTATTAATATTACTAGGTTTAGGTGTACCACTTTATCATTTGTTTTCTGTTTATCCAGTTTTTTGTTCCTCTCTTTTTTCCTTCCTTCCTTTTGGGTTAATTAACTTTTTAAAAAAACTTTCAAAGCTATTTAAAAGTTTTACTTTTCTGTCTTCTGGACTCCACAGTTTCTGATGATAAGTCAGCCTGAATTCATTTCATTGTTCACTTAAATGTAATGTCTGTTTTCTTAAGCTTTGTTTTCAAGATTTTACTTTTTGACTATAACCGTTTAAACTATGATGCTCTCAAGTATGATTTGCATTATAGTCATCCTTCTTGCAGTTTGCTGAGCTTCCTGATTAAAAAAAAATTTTTTTTTTTTTTACCAAATTGGAGAATATTTTTGACATTTTTTTCAAATTTTTTTGATTCCTCTTCTCTCTTTTCTCCTTTTGGGATTCTCATTTCCCTTATGTTAGACATTTCAGTGTCCCACAGATGAGTGAAGCTCTGTTCATTTTAAAAAAATACTTTTATGCCTATGTTATTCAGATTAGATAATTTCTATTAATTTGTATTCAAGTTAAATGACATTTCTGTTCATCTCCAATTTACTCTTAAGTGTTTTCTGTGAAGCATCTGCAAACAGTGTTTCAGTTCCAGAATTTTAATTCGATTTATTATTATACTTTGTATATCTGTGGGGTTTTCCTATTTGTTTTTTCTTACAAACAATTTTATTTAGGTCCTTGTTATAATAGTTAAAATAGCTTCTTTAAAATCATATTCTAATTCCATCTTTAGGTCTTCTTGAGTTTGACCAAGATTTTGCCTATATTCGATTATTTTCTCTTGCCCGTAAGCAGTTGTTTTTACATTTTTCTTGGAATTTAACACATTCCCTGCTACACTTAGAGGAAAAAAACAACTTTTCCTTGGGGCCACAGAGTTTTATTACAAAAATAGAATAAAAACTTTAAAAACAAAACAATCCTTTCAAATGTAATGAAAAATATGTTATTTTTTATTGTTTTCTGTACGTGAGTTATATGCAACTTGAAAAATAGTTCAGACAGCTCCCAAGGTGAAGAGATGTGTGAGTTACATATGCTCCTCAAAGCCTTGGGATCAAAACTAGCATGACTTAAATACAACTCATTTGACAGTTAATGTGTTAAATGGTTATGTGCAGGAAGTTTAATCTAATAGGATGTACTCCGCTGTTACTGTAAGTGGAACTTCCCATTCCTTGAGTTTTTAGAGTATACTTTAACTTACTTTTTATCACTTTCTATACAATGCAGGAAACTTAATACACTCAAACTTATTTATCTCCTCACCTATTATTATTTTGGGCTTACATTTTAATTCTACATGAATTTTTACCTTTTAAGACATTATTATTGCCCGGCGCGTGGCTCACGCCTGTAATCCTAGCACTCTGGGAGGCTAAGGTGGGTGGATTGTTTGAGCTC